TATGTAGTTTTTATATACAGTGGGACCTCGGTTTACGAATTTAATGCTTTGTCTGGGACATTTCGTATTGCGAAAAATTCGTAAACCGAAACATGGTTTCCCATAGGAATGCATTGAAAACCAATTAATGCGTTCCAGAGGTAAGAAAAAAGTAAAATAAAGTATTTTATCTGTTCAAAACTCTTTATAAAGTGCACTTTAAATACTGTACAGGGACATGATTAATCAAGCAATAACATTTCAAACATCCAACTTTATGTTTTAAAAACATCACACATCAACTTTTAAAACATGGCAGACTGTTGGTAACATGGTACAGTACACGTCAACTGTACATAAATCACATGTCAACAGGGAAAACATGGAAAATTTCAAAACAATTTTAACACTTTTTGGAAGATGAGGAGGACGAGGGCAATTGGGCAGCACTAACACAAGCAGGTTCGAGGACTTTCTTTAAGGACAGGACTTTGAATTATTTTATTGTTTTATTGTTTGATGTATTTGATTAAATTTTTATCTATATATCTTTTATTTGAGTAATAAATTGATCATTTTTTGATTGTACATTTAGTCCAGTGTCTGCTGCTGCCTAATTTTAAAGAAGGTGAACCCCCCTGAGTGGGTTAAAGTGATACCAACCAGAGCCAGGTTTATCCTATTGACTCTGAATAAGGTGAGCACTTTACCATTTCGTACTGATATATATCTGAATATTAAGTTTTGACCTGTGAAATACTACACTAGAAAGGAATTCTTCCTGTTTTTTATGTGTTTTCTTATTAAGAAATAAAGAAGGAGTCTGAAAGAAGGGCGGTGTCTCCTAAAAGATACCAGAGTATAAGCGATTTGAGCCAGTCCGGTCTTTGGCTCTACATTTGTGAGTTGATAGTATTACCACCTTTATCAACCAGATTCCTAATTCAATATACTCCACCATTGGATTATTTTTCTCTTTTCCCTCCCCATTTCTGTTTTTCATATATATGCTGGATTGCACAACGTAATACCCCTAACAGTGGGGGTGAGTATATATTATTACTGGAGCGCACCACTTTTGGGATTTTTGGGTTGTTGGTATTCTTTTAAACCTTCCTTCTAAACTCCCTATTTTTATACTCTTAACTAGTGGTTGGTTGGAAAGATCCACTTATAAGTGTTGAAGCTGCTATAGTAAACCTTACATCTTTTAATATTTTTTAAGCGCCTATTCAAAATACACATCACTTTTGGCTATATTGGATGTACAGAGCCTGAGAAACCATCGTACAAAGTCTGGTTTTGAGGCTCTGTACATTACCAAAATTAGTTCCAGGGGGTTGCTTGGTTTAGTCTGGCAGATACAAACTTTGCGCCTAAATCAAGCAACAACCAATCAGCTGAAAGGCGCAAAACCAATTTGAGCCAATCAGCGCTCAGAGAGGAGAGGGGTTTCGCCCCCCAATCAAGAGAAAGGGTGCAAAACCCCATTTGAATGGGGCAACCAATCAGCGCACTCTCGTGCCGACCCATCAGAAGAATGGCTCAGTTTGAATGGGCGCTCCTTCTTCTATTGGTCGGCATGGACTTCAAGGCGGTCAGTTGGACCCCTGCAGCTGTGAAGCTGAATCATAGGCCACCAGGGATTTCACTGGGGCTCGTTCCTCTCTGCAGGGCTACCTCCACTTAGGCAGGCCCGGGGAGAGCGCCCTCGGTCAGCTACGAGCCTGGTCTCGCAGCTCCCGGGTATGGGAAGAAGTGACCATAGCTCCGTTAGGAGCAAACAGGGCGATCGCCAACAAGGCGATCTGAGACAGTGTGGGCAGGTCCGTTCAGGATACGAATGCCTCCCATTGTTTACATTTGGCTATACGAACTAGCGGCCTCCCAGGGGAGCGTTTGTTAATGATTTCACTTGTGGTTTTAGAATGTTCTAATGAGCATTCGAAATGTGACCTCAGTGTGGTCCCCATTCAGGAGAAGAACGGATTTCGTTCGTATGGGCTCTCCCGCATGGGAAACAGACAAAATACACAAAATGCATACAAATACATGGTGAAGCACAGAGGGACCACTCAATACAAGGGAAAAACACACAAATAAGCAGTGGGCATGGTACTTAGTGGCGGTGGTCACATCTCCACCCTGTCTACCTCTGGCAGCCACAGCATGACTCACATGGGTCAGATCGCTGCTGCTAGGAGGGGACACATAGTCTTTTAGAGCCATGCCTCCAACAGTACTTGTCCCCGACCAGCCCCTAAAGTCCTAAGGTTGTGCCCGCCTTGCACCCTGCACCCTCCTGGGTACAAGGTGACTTAAACATAAAGTGTCTTTAGCCTAGGAGGCCATCCATCCAAGGCTCTGGTACACAAGTGTCTCTGAGCCCCTAAAAATCCCCACCCAAACAAAGTTGCCCCCGCGTTTTGCTGAGCCCCTAAGAACCTCCACTCAAACAAGTGTGCCCCCCCCCCGGCCCTTCCTTCACCTGGGTCTCCTAGTTGTCCAGACTGGCCAAGGATGATAGGAGTTGGCTGCTGAGCTGGTCGCGGCTCTGCTTACTGGGGATCGCTGGGGTCAGAGCTGTCCTCTGTGGAAGAGGGCTGGCTGTGCTCTCCCCCTGGATCACACTCAGCAGCTGGGGGGTGGTGCCGGCGGTACGCTGATCAGAGGCCCGCGCCCCTGCTCCTACTTGCTTCAGGAGCCCTGTCCAATTGTTGCATTCTCCTATGCATGGACAATATATCTGCAGACCAATACATAAACCGATTGGGCAGGGCCCGGTCACGAGCTCTGAGAGAGGCGACGAGGGACATTTACCAATTTAGTCTTCCCTGCAACATTACGATCAATGCGGAATACCTACGGGGGATCAACAATCTCACGGCAGACTGGTTTTCCCGCAACTGGTGGGACGGCAGCGACTGAGAACTCACAGAGGCCCGTTAATCATAGACCTTTTCGCTTCCAGGACAAACACGCAACTACCAAGATATTACAGCTGGCTCCCGGATCCACAGTGCGAGGCGATCAATGCATTTCTACAACCATGGTTCTCGATGTTAGCGAGGGTACTCCATCGTCTCAGAGTAACCAAGATTTCGATGATACTCATCGCGCCATTGTGGAGAAGTCAGGCGTGGTTCCCGGACTTGTTGGCTCTAGCTCAAGATCACCCTCTACTCCTCCCGTTGTTCCCATTACTTTTGACAGATCCGAAAGGGGAACCGCATCCACTGATCCTACAGGAGAGTCTGGAATTAGTGGCCTGGAGACTTTCAGGGGAGCCTGGACTGTCGAGGGACTATCGCAACCAGCTATAGACCTATTATGGGACTCGTGGGCACTGGGTACACAACGGAGTTACATATCAGCATGGAATTCCTGGAACCGCTGGTGTGGGAAGGGATTTTGATCCCTTTACTGCACCTGTCACCATGGTGTTCAATTTTTTATCGTACCTTTTCACAGAAGGACGATCTTACCGGTCCATTAATGTTACACGCTCTGCGATTTCGGCGGCACACGTTCCGGTTCATGGTACTCCGGTCTGTCAGGATCCTTTGGTATGTCGCCTGTTGCAGGGTATCAAACTATCTAGACCGCCGGCACCGAAGTACAACCGTTTGTGGGACGTAGATGTGGTTCTTCGTTTCCTTCGGGATTGGCCAGACAATTCAGAACTGTCTCTTCATCAACTGTCGGCCAAACTCACATTACTTTTATGTTTGATATCTTTTTGACGAGTTTCGGACGTTTGGGCGTTCGACGTGGATGGGTTCTCGATTTCACCGGAAGGAGTGACCTTTACGGTGTCTAATAGAACTAAAACGGATTCCACATCAGTGTCTTACCCCTTTCTTCCTACGGTACCCCATTTCTGTGTAGTGAACGCGCTTACTCGATATGTGGAGGTCACTACACCCCTTAGATTTTCGCAATGCGGTCAACTTCTGGTCTCCTATACCAGACCTTACAAACCAGTTACCACTACCACTCTGGTTAGATGGGTTCATTGGCTTTTATCTCTGGCGCGGTGTTCTCGGCGGGAGCTTCGCTTTCTGATATTTTACGTTCGGCAGATTGGACGTGGGAAGACACTTTACGCATATTTTATTTTCGTCAGACTACACACGCATCTTTCTCGTTATTACCACAGCTTTAAAAATGCAAAATATGAAGAATCCTGTCATGTGATAAAATTGTAGATTATGCTAATGTTGTGTACCTATAATCTTAATTTTAATAATGACAGGAGGCGAGTATTTTCCCTCCCTTTTCTATGGGAAGTTTTGTTCTACTGATTTTTCCAGTTGCTCAGAAATGTATTTTGTTTAGTTCATCTAATCTTGTGTGTTCATATGATGTCTTATGTGGTAATATACGTCTATCATTGGTGTGTATATTTCATGATGTTAGAACTTTAGAAGATGCGTTATTTTATAATTTATATTGATATATAGTGACACTGGAATTTATGTGGACATCAGTCTATTTCCATCACTTTTCACTTGTTTCTGTTCTGGTGGATTCTATGTCGGACAAGATGGAATTTATCTCGTTACGGATCAAGTTTACGTTTGCCATGTTGTTCAGGACTTTGGCTATGTTCCCTGACTTTGTTATAGACTGTTTTTCGCTTCAAAGAAAGAGGAAGTCATGTGTCTGTCAGGGCTTTCTACATGGATGCAGGGCCGAACTGGGGATACAAAGCAGACCTGGAAAAAAAAATTGTGCCAGCCCCATAAGTCACTGCGCCATATATTGTCGCATGTAATATGTAAGGCTATGTCTTGCCAGGACAGATAATTGAGTAATATATATATATATATATATATATATATATATATATATTGCTTTTTCTAATATAAAATATTGGTCCTTTCAGGGTAAAACGTTTAATTATACAGTAAGCATACGCACATGCAGACACAGGCAATTTCACTGACATTTCAGTGACACACACAAGCTCATTGATACACAGCCTCATAGACAAACAAACTTACTGATATACATCAGCTCATTGACATAAAAACACAAGCTCACTCACTAGCAGGCACACGCATGCAAGCAAGCTCATTCACTAGCAGATGCACACACACAGCTTAATGTGGTGGTACTGGTGTCTATAGCATGTCCCTACAGGCTTTTCAACGTAAACACTGACTTTTCAGACAAAAGGCAGTGTTTACATTGCTTCAAAGTGACACTGCTAGAGACAGTCACTCAGACGGTCACTAGAGGTGCTTCCTGTGTTAGTGCACCTACATTCAGGGCCTCCACACTCTGTAGGTGCTGAACGTTCCCCATAGAGACACATTGATTCAATGCATCTCTATGAGGAGATGCTGATTGGAGTGGCGTTTTGCAGCCAATCCTATGGCAAAGCATTGGATTGGCTGAGATCATCAAGCTTGATGATCTCAGCTATAGAGGTAGGGCCAGTCGAGGGGAGACCAGCACGCTGCGTGGGGAAAAAAAAAGGTGAGCAAAAACACTATTTTTAAACACACATTTACACCATGACAGACACAGAAACACACATATACCATGACAGATACACACCCCATGACAGACACACACACACACCATGACAGACCATGACACAGACAGACACACACCATGACACAGACAGACACACACCATGACGGACAGATAGAGACACACACACACACCCCATGACGGACAGACAGACACACACAAACACACACCCCATGACGGACAGACAGACACACACAAACACAAACACCATGACGGACAGACACACACACACCCCATGACGGACAGACAGACACACACACACACCCCATGACGGACAGACACACACACACCCCATGACGGACAGACACGCACACACACACACCCCATGAATGACAGACAGACACACACACACCCTATGACGGACAGACAGACACACACACACCCCATGACAGACAGACAGACACACACACACCCCATGACGGACAGACACACACACACACACACACACCATACAGACAGACACCATGACACAGACAGACACACACACCATACAGACAGACACCATGACACAGACACACACACACCATACAGACAGACACCATGACACAGACAGACAGACACACACACACCATACATACAGACAGACACCATAACACAGACAGACAGACACATTACTTATACCTGCCAGGGGGAGGTCTTCTGGGGGCCGCTGGGGGACTTTTACCGCTGGGGAGGTCTTCTGGGGGCATCTGTGGGACATGTCCTGGCGGCCGCTGGGGGAGCTGCGCTGGCTCTCCCGCCCTCGCGCGCTGCTGAATGAGACCGGCACTGGAATTTGACGTCATATTCCGGCGCCGGTCTCATTCAGCTGCGCGCTGGAGATCAGAGCCAGCGCAGCTCCCCCAGCGGCAGCCAAAAGACCTCCCCAGCGGCCGCCAGCAGACCCAGGTGTCTGCCCGGCCCCAGGTGCCGACGGCCCACCGGGAAATTTCCCGGTATCCCGGTGGGCCAGTCCGGCCCTGCATGGATGTGATACCTGTTACTGATTGGTTTAAAGGTTATTGATTGACTTATGCTGCTGGAGGCATAAGTAAAGAAAGTTATGCCAAATACTCGCCTCCTGTCATTATTAAAATTATAGGTATACTATGTTAGCATAATCTACAATTATAGCTCTTTTTATGGAATGACAGGTGAATGATACAATGGAATGCACATAGAGTATAATGGGAAGCAATATGTGACTTGGAATCTGAACTGTAAAACATATCAAGTAAATATTTTACTGGCATACTCTCCAAATTCAGTGGCAATTTTAAAAATTGAGATTAAGTGGGATTATTATTGTTTTCTATGGAATGACAAGGGTGAAGGTCCAAAGAGAGCGCCCATGGAGTCTAATGATAAGCAACAAATAAACTAATTTGCAGGCAAATCTGTGTTATGTAGCAAATTAATCTTTACCACAGGTGTTCCCCAAGTACAGCAGCAGATTGCAAAATAGAAATTACCTGGGATTATTCTTTTCTATGGAATAACAGGTGATACAATGAAATGCAAATAGAGTATAATGGTGTAACAAAAACCCTCTTTGATTTGCAATAGTTATGGTGGTTTTGTTCCTTCCTGCGATGATTATGGTGTGAGTCTTCTTCCTAATGTTTATTTCCTCAAAGTACATGTTCCTGGACTTCATTTGCCCCGTGACTATGGCCCCTTGGGTGTATTGCTTTTTAAAAAGCTAAAGTACTGTTTCTGCCCCTTTAAAAACTATTGGAAAGGATTTGCACTTTCAAAGTGTCACTTTGGATACAGCCGAAGTAGTTGAATTGGCCGCCATTCGACATATGAACACGTGGCGGCCATTTTAATTCAGTGGAACGCGTTCAGTGGTGTTTGGTCGTCGAGTTCATGGAACACCGCTGAACTTTACCTTCTCTAGACTTCAACACTTTGACGGAAATCGAAGTGCGTTCGACAATTTGAATGCCACTTTAACTTTGAGTTTTTGGACGTTATCGTTTTGTATGGACTGACCGTGCGCATGGTCCTATGCCCAAATGGTCCTATGCGCAGTTCCATGAAATCAGGGTTAGCGGTCGGTCAAATTTAGTAACATAGAAATGAATAAAATACCGAAAGTAGTCTCTGATTGAACCGTGGAGCTTGTCCCCTCATTCAGACGAACGGTTCCACCGAACAGTGTTCTTCTAGGATGTATAGAGCCGAACACAGGCGATGATGGAAGTCCAGCGGTGTTTGGGAGTTTCAGTGTTCGATTTTATTCCATGAACTTGACGACCAAACACCGCTGCCTGCGTTCATGCAAACAAGATGGCCGCCACCTCGTGGTTGTTCCTATGAATTGCGGCCACCCAGACATCAATTACAACATTGAGGTGAGAACCGTTCCAAGGTGTTGATAGGGGTTAACAAGCTCGCGGGTGGTCCCTGGTTCGTGCGGTCCCGGACGGTATAGGGAAATTACACAAACCAAGCCAGTTAAACAGTCTTTTACAGGTTTCCCTGCAGGGCCCATAGTCTATGGGCAAGAGGCTGGAAAGCAGGCTCCTCCATGAGCTCGTGGCAAACTCATGTGAGAAGGGGAGTTTGTCACACCCACCTAATCTCAATTTTAAAAATTGCCACTGAACTTGGAGAGTATGCCAGTAAAATATTTACTTGATATGGTTCACAGTTCAGATTCCAATTCACATAGTGCTTCCCATTATACATTATGGGCATTCCATTGTATCATTC